GATGATTTCTAATCCACATGATACTGTAACAGGCCAATGCTACAGGATCTTAAGTTTGATACTGTGTTTGCATAAGCCTATTGATATTTGTGGGTTTAGATCTGCATAAATCTGCAAAATCTGCAATAATGTATTTGAGTCTGACAGGTGATTAACCTGTGGTCACCCAGATGCTGCTGGACTACAACTCCCATCATCCCTTGCCATTGGTCACACTGACTGGGTTGGGTGGAATTTTGAGTCCAGCAATACTTAGAGGGTCACAGACTCCCCTGCATTGGGCTAATGAATAACAACTTGCATATGATTATCATAGAGTCAACAATTGACTTGTTTCTTCAGATGCCTTCCCCAAACCTATATTTCAGGGAAGTATATCTAATGGGGTGTCTGGGTTTTGTACTGGAATCAAGCATATTTTGGGCAACTTGGTCAAAATACATTTTCACCTTTTTTTCCTTTGAGTTTCTGTGAGTTTGTAGTGGATTCCCCATCTGCAGCTGAAGAGGAAGTTCCGCTTACAAAATCCCATCAAAATATTCAGGAGAAAGATTATTCTGCATCACCTCCTGTATCTTTTATTGGGATTAATAACTGACCAGTATTGGAGATATCCTGATTGCAACTGAATTTTCACCATGAAAGATATTCATTCACTTGCTTTCAGGTGCAATAATCCTGTTTGTTTGTTTGTTTGTTTGTTTGTTTGTTTCACTGAGGTTAGTGAAGGGAAGTTTTCTTTCTGCAGTTCTTTTACTGCACATATCTGTGGCATTGTGGGAAGTCTTGCTTCTTTTCTCTTGCATTCTGGGAAGTCTCGCTTCTGCTTCTGCACAAGAGTCTGAGAATGTTCTGAACAGTTCCCATTGAGTTCATGAAACAGTGTATCCTGACCTGTTCTTAATGCATTGCTGACCACATCTACGGAACGTGATTGTTGTATTCCTTCATGTTATGTTCTCTCAATATCAATCTTTAGTTATAATTTAATTAGGAGGTTTCATGCCTGTCTAGTTCCAGCTCCGTTCCCAGTCTTTAATCTATCAGTGATTAATGTAATATGTAATTCCCGCCTTGTACCTATGTTAACCAATCAGCAACAAGATGCTTTGTGTTTGTATCAACCAATCAGCCACAAGCACACCTGTGGCAATGTTTGTAATATTCAATAAAAGAGAGTTCCCGGGGCTTGCCCCCGAAAGAGACGCCTCTCATATGACACCTACCACTCGTCTGTCGTGATTTCAACCCAACATCTGGTGACCCCCGACGTGCCAGATCCCTTACGCAGCCAGCCCTCATACTTCACCCGACTGGAAAAGTCTCAGCGCGCTACTTCGTGAGTATGGGAGGGGAATTGACTAAATTCCAAAAAGAGCATGCTAAAGAATTGTTTTATTTAGTTAGACAGCGAGCGGTGGGTGTTAATATTTCCTTGAAAGACACTGAACAATTGCTATGTGAGATTTCTTGCCAATATCCCTCCTATCCAGAGAAAGGTTCTTTGGAAGTAGAGACTTGGCAAAAGATCGGAAAGACCCTGTTTGCTGAACCTAGGGCTCCGATTCATTGTCTGCTCACTTGGCAGAAATGTGCAGACGCCGTTGCTAAATTACCCAAGGTGTCTCCCTCGGCTCCTGCACTTCTAGCCATCGCAGACAATCCCCCACCTTACCCAAAGCTTTTGCCTCCTTCTCCTTTGCAGCCCAGCCAATCCCTCCCTGCGTCTCACCCTCCTCAGCCTGCATCCTCCCCCCCATCCAGCCTGCATCCTCCCCCCCATCCCTCCGCCTCAGCCTGCATCCTCCCCCCCCATCCCTCCTCCGTCTGCCACAGCCCCTGTTTGCTCTATAGGAGCTGTGCGCGCTGCGCTCTCTTTGGCCAGGCAGAAAGGGCTCCTGTCCTTAGAGGAGGAGTCTGAGTGGCCAGGTGAAATGCCGTCTGCTTTCCCTATAACCTATTCAAACCCTGGAACTGCTCAACAGCAGGTTTTTTATGAATCGCTTCCTTATTCTGTAATGAGAGAATTAAGGAAAGCCATTGCTGATTCTGGTCTAAAATCCTCTTATGTGACAGGAATGCTAGAAGGCATAGCAACTGGTTACATTATGCTACCTCAGGACTGGAAAGACCTGATGCGCATGCTTTTGTCCCCTGCTCAGTATGTGGTGTTTGAGAGTGAATTTAAACATAGCGCATCAGCCCTGTCTGATCCGCAACATACTGCCAATGAACTTTATGGTGCTGGTCAGTATGCTGATATAACTGCCCAGGCAACGCTGACACCTGTACATTTTAGTCGCACCGCGACCTGTGTACAATGCGCCTTTCGGAAAGTCCCTGTCTCTGGGCAACCGCTGAGCTCCTTTGTAAATATTAAGCAACAGCATTCGGAGCCATACCATCAGTTTATAGATAGATTGAAAGAATCAGTCACTAGGCAGATTGATAATACCACAGCTCAAAATGAATTGATGAAAAAATTGGCCTTTGAAAACGCAAACACCGATTGCAAGAAGGCATTGCAGTCAATCATACATCGCCCTAAATATGACCTGGCCGACATGATTTAAGCTTGTGCGGATGTCGGTAGCCAGAGCCATGCGATGTCTTTGCTTGCCGGTGCAATCCAAGCAACCACTAGGCCTACGGGTAACTGCTTTAATTGCAAGCGCCCAGGCCATTTTGCCAAGCAATGCAGAGCCCCTGGCGGGGGGGCACACAAGGATGGTGCTGCCTCTAAGGCTAAACCTTCTAAAAAATGCCCGAAATGTGGCAAAGGCTATCATTGGGCTAATCAATGCAGGAGTCCGGGAAACTCCATTGCGGCCCCACTCTCGGGCCAGGGCAATTAGAGAGTTTTCCACCTTTAGTTTCTGCTGCTGCAAACTTTTCAAAAAAAACACCCTCTGAATTTGCCATTGATTTGATCAATCAAGAGACCAAAGACTCTGTTTTACCTGGTGAAATTGTTCTTATGCCCACTCAATTGGCAGGCCCACTGCCTCCTAAAGTCGCAGGTTTAATTTTACTCAAATTTTCTGCGGCAAAAGAAGGAATCCAGGTTATTCCTGGAGTTCTGGATCTTGACTATGTAGGCACAATAATGGTTCAACTCTGGAGCCATATGCCCATGCAATTAAAAAAGGGTGAGTCTTGGGCGCATTTGGTGGTGCTCCCTTCTCATCCTACTGCTTCTATTATGGATACTAATTTGCACGAGCTCTCTTCTTTCCCTCCACAGCTGTTAGCTGTAGTCCAGAGGATTGGTGAGAAGAAACTTCTTCGTAAGTATAAAATCAATGGTATTGTGCTGGAAGGCTTGATTGACACAGGCGCAGACGTTTCTGTAATTTCTAGTAACTGCTGGGACCCCACATGGCCCCTTGAGTCTGCCTCTGCAGTCTGGGGTGTGGGTGACCCCCAAACCTCTTCCAAAAGCGTACAGTGGCTGCCTGTTTCTCTGCCTGATAGCTCTGAAACCATTGCTTACATCCAGCCCTGTGTGCTGAAAATCCACCTCAATCTGTGGGGAAGAGATTTATTACAACAATTACAAGCTACCATTCAATTTAATGAGTAAGCTTGCACTTCCCCTCAGCTGGAAATCTACCAGTCCTGTATGGGTGGAACAATGGCCCATAACAGGAGAAAAGCTACTTGCTTTAAAACAATTAGTGAATGAACAATTATCGGCAGACCATATTGAGCCTTCAGTTAGCCCCTATAATACACCCATCTTCGTCATAAAAAGAAGAGTGGCAAATGGAGATTTCTCCAGGATTTAAGGAAAATAAACCAAATCCTTGAACCCATGGGGCCTTTGCAGTGTGGTCTGCCTAATCCAAATATGATTCCACATTCTTATCAATTGGCTATAATAGATCTGCAAGATTGTTTTTTCTCCATTCCCCTACAGGAGAAAGATCGTAAATTCTTTGCTTTTACTGTTCCTGTGTTAAATAACAGTCAGCCCATGGAACGGTACCAATGGAAAGTCCTACCACAAGGAATGCTGAATTCCCTACCATGTGCCAAATCATCAGCCATGGAACACCCTGTTGCTTAAGCCGTTTGTCCATCATTTTATCGCCGCAATATTGAATTGACTAATGATTGTGATGCTTTTGTCTCTTTTCCCAGTAGGTCTGAATATATCTCTTTAGTTGTTTCTCTCTTAGGAGCCCCTGGATTGGCTGTACGGAATCGTATGAACATTAATTCTTAAGCTTGTTATGCAGCAAAAAAGCCTTGAATTTTACTTCACAAGCTCTTCACCTTTTGAATAAAGAACAGAGTGAACTATATAATGGACTTTTACGAAATCGTGCTGCTATCACTATTTGCTGATGCTTCATCATTATGGCTGTGAACAAGTGAATGACATGTGTTGTTTCAATATTACTGACAATTCAAGAGCCATTCAAAGTCAAATCTCTCATTTGCAAAATCTTACACATCACATTAAACAGGACATTGGTTTTCCTGGCCTCTGGGATTCTTTCACCCAGTGGCTTACCGCTTGGTTGCCAAACTTGAATTGGCTTCGTAATCTTTTTCAATATGCTATTGTCATAATTTGTATTCTTATTTTGCTATGCTGCTTCCTTCAATGCGTTCCTTGCCTCATAAGTCTTTTCTCTCGACTTCTCTCTCCCCCTCAACCACCCAGTAAACTCCTTGCTGCTTACTTTGCGAAATGGCAACACCAACAGTAAACCTTAGGGGAGATGTGGGCGGATTATTTTGGGCATGCGCTGGCAAACCACGTATCCTGAAGTATTTTTGTCCCATCGACCCTGGCGAGCTTATTTCGGGCATTCACTGGCACACCACTAATCCCAAAGTATTCTTGCCTTATCTACCTAGAACGCCTCGCAAACAAGAAAAGAAAGGGGGAGATGAAGGGAAGTTTTCTTTCTGCAGTTCTTTTACTGCACATATCTGTGGCATTGTGGGAAGTCTTGCTTCTTTTCTCTTGCATTCTGGGAAGTCTCGCTTCTGCTTCTGCACAAGAGTCTGAGAATGTTCTGAACAGTTCCCACTGAGTTCATGAAACAGTGTATCCTGACCTGTTCTTAATGCATTGCTGACCACATCTACGGAACGTGATTGTTGTATTCCTTCATGTTATGTTCTCTCAATATCAATCTTTAGTTATAATTTAATTAGGAGGTTTCATGCCTGTCTAGTTCCAGCTCCGTTCCCAGTCTTTAATCTATCAGTGATTAATGTAATATGTAATTCCCGCCTTGTACCTATGTTAACCAATCAGCAACAAGATGCTTTATGTTTGTATCAACCAATCAGCCACAAGCACACCTGTGGCAATGTTTGTAATATTCAATAAAAGAGAGTTCCCGGGGCTTGCCCCCGAAAGAGACGCCTCTCATATGACACCTACCACTCGTCTGTCGTGATTTCAACCCAACAGGTTAGGACACTCATTTAATTGTTTATTCATTGTGACCCCTAGTTATGCTTCCTGGATGTTGTCCATACTTGGTCAACTGGAAAAAAATAATAAAACTGCTCAGTTGCACAATTACAAGCTGTTGATAGAACATTCTTCATTACTGTTTTAAGTCATTCCACTTGTCATCTTCGGTGTTCACTTTTTTTGACCCACAGTTTTAAATTCAGTAACAGTCTTGCAGTGAATATTAAATGTTGCACAGTTAATTGTGTGAACTACTGTTCTTCTTTCATGACAAGTATGATGACTGGTACTATGGTTGGCAGGATATGTGTGGAGAAAAGAATTGTTTATTGCTGTGACCCTTGAAGAGATGTCACTGCCAGTGAAGTCTGGACCACCCAGTATCAGAGGTAGATGGCAACTTTTGCTTGCTCCACAGTTACTTCCAAGAGCAGTGCATTTCCTATTCAAGTGAATGGTAACTATTCACCTAACAGTGCGATTTGCAATGTGGAAAGCTTCTGTACACCAAAGAGAGCCATTGCGTTTCCTTTAGATGTTGTTGGACTACATTTTCCATCATGCCTGATCATAGGTGAGGCTACCTGAAGCTGATGGGAGTTGGAGTCCAACAATACCTGAGGGCTCATGATCTTCGTATTGGATCACAGGATATGATTTGTGGCTTGGGGTTGAAGCTCCGTCCGCCATCTTCTTTGTGGGTGAATGGGTGCCCTCACACACACTGCCTTCTGTGCAGCAATGTGGGCAGTGCAGAACATCTGAGCACAATTAGGCCCGGATCTCTCCCAGTTCCTTCTCCTTTTTGGCTGTTGCATATTGAAAGTTCTGAATGAGTTAAATCTAAACAGGAAGAAACCTTCAGTTTTCCAGTCATTTTCCTATTTGCTTAGAGAAGCTACTGTATGAAAGTGACTTTCCTTAGCTAATGAACTATTCCTAATGATATGCATGTGTCAATATCTTGTTAAGATTGATCTAATGGTTTGTTTTTATAATTGAATTTTACTTAATCACTGATCCAATTCACTGACATTTTCTTAGCTTATTAACTGTTTAAGCTACAAACATTAAGTTGAATTTATGCAACAAAATTCTTTTCTTTTTGGTTTTTTAAAGATCTCAACCAAAACGGTAGCTGCTAAAATGTTCTAGTTGCAGATGTACCAAACAGAGCTGTGAAATCCCTAAAGCTAGTTTATTAAAGCAGCAAATCTCTCTCTCTTTTAAATGCAGGATAGCTAGGTACTATCTTTAGAATTATCAAGGCATATCCCAAGGCCTGATGTCACAAATGCTTATTTGCCCTCTGGACCCCATGCATAGGAAGATTGCTGTAGACAGCTGTCTATTAATCATGCTGTAGGAGGGATGAAATTAATGATTATGGGGTAGCACCATAACACAAATTTTCTTTAGAATTGTCCTACTATCTAAATTATTTTATTAGGCTTACAGCCTTCGTAGGAGGGTGTATAACTGATGTGTGTTATTCTTTCGCTCCCAGATAAAAATGAACTGTTAACTTTAAATGAAATTTTTATTCCGCCGTATGTTAGGAGACCCAGGCTTAATGTTAAAAACATCTCTTCGTAGTTGAAGATTGTCTTTTGGAGTTGAGATTTAGAAACAAGTCTAACTGTGCAGTACAAATCCTTCCTTAAAACAGTGGTAGTACAGAAATTGTGTTCTTCTGGCTGATTACCAGCAAGAACAAAGAACAGTCGTAAAGCTCCCCACAATGCAGGAGACAACTGACTTCAATGTAATTCTAAGATAAATTGGTCTTCACAGTGTGCAGTACATTGTACCTGAAGCAACTTCTCCTTCCAATAAAGCAGCTAAATTCTTCCCTCCAATTGCAAAACCAAATAAAAAACCCTGTTCTATTACTATTGTATTGTGATAGCTTTTGTTCAGCTGAATATGGTTTTTTTTAGAAGATGCTCAGCCCTATAATAGGAAGTTCTAGTAATAAATTCATTGAGATAAGGAAACATAAGATTGATTTTTTTGAAAAGTGATGAGAACATGCCATTTTGACTCTCAGTATTCTCCCCTCATCTGCAAAAGGTTGTATCCAGCATTAGTCAAACTCAAAGTATGCCCATTGAAATGAATAGACCTGAGTAACATAGTTCTATTCTGCATATAACTCAGTTGGATACAACCCATAAAGTTGAGTTTGAATAAATTTATATGTAGGAAAAAAATGACATAACACCAAATATATGCATAAGTTCTCAATAGATACTGTCTGATAATGCCCATGTTTTAATTTATTTATTTATTTTAGGCAAAAGGAGAACTATTGCCATAATATTCAATATAAACCTCCACTATTCATAATTTCTACTTCAGTTTTCAGGTTAAAAATAGTCCTTTTGGGGAAGCCAATGTTATTTGCCCAGGCAGGCACGTGACCCAAGAGAGCAGCAAAATAACCAGACTGTACAATGGTGGTGGGATAAAATCAGACCAAAACTTTATTGACAGCAGCAGGGAGGTTAAGGGTTGGCATGGCGTTGGGTCCCAGGATCAGTTCATCATTCCACAAGTCCCATGTTGATGTAATGGATCTGCCAGGTTTGACCTGCCCCAAACCAATTTCTTGGGAGTTGGCCAGTGTTGATGTTATGTACTAAAATTCTCACCCTGGGCCAGCAAGGGGATACTGTAGATAGTTCAGGTCTACATATGCAAATAAGGGATCGAAAGTGACGTTCAGTGATTTCGCTCGGTGTTTCAGCTCAGTGATTCAGCTCCGCTCAGAGGGTAGCTGCATCTGGCTGTGCTCTGTTGTCCATCCATCCCATCCTCGTCGCCAGTGTTAAGTTGTGGGTGAACATATCAGACGACACAGCGATTCTTCAAACAGCTCTTGTTTATTCACAGGCCAGAACAGAACTGAACTGAAGGGTTCAGCCAGCCTGCTTATATAGAGCTCCACTAGAACGCAACAGTAACCATTTTCTGTAACTATCCAATCACTGAACGTCACTTTTGATCCCTTATTTGCATATGTGGACCTGAACTATCTACAGTATCCCCCTGCTGGCCCAGGGTGAGAACTTCAGTACATAACAGTTGAACCTTGCTGTGGCACAAGCCAAGCAGGGAAGTTCTCATTGGATGACCAGGGCACAGATTCCTACCAGGCAGACACCCTGGGGGTGCCATAGTCAATACTCCCCCTCAGGCACCTTATGGGCCCCCTTATACTATGTTAATCCTGTTAAATGCCATTTCCCCCCCATACAAACAACACTCTTCTGCCTAACAAAGGAAGGCCATAATTTCACTGAGGGTGGAAGTTGGAGTCCAGTAACATATGGAGATCACCACATTGTCTCCCCATGAAATATACAGTCACTTGTGGATTATGTTGATAACACAGGTTCACATCTTTGGGGTTCTCCTTAATCTGGCTCAGAGACTATAAGCACCTTTCACTAGTTATGGCTGATATGCCCTTTCCTTGAAAACTCAACCCTGAAAATCATTCATGCTGCAGTGACCTAAAGATTGAATCAGTGTCATGAGCTGTAAGTGGAGGTGTCCTTGAAAATAAGATGGAAACTTCAACTGGTGTAAAACGTTGCCATCAGATTATTAGTTAGGAGTGGCCATTCAGAATGTATTAGTCCAGAACTGTTCAATCTTGAACTGCTTGGTTGCTCATTTGCAAGGTCAATTTAAGGTACTAGTTCTTACCTTTACAGTCCTAAAGATCAGAGTCCTTTAAGTATCATCCCCTCTCATATAACCCACTTATATACCTCCTCTCACAAGTTCCTTTTAATCTCTGAGGACCTATTTTGTGTATCCACATTGACATGGAGTTCAACATGGAGTTCATCCACTAGATCAGGGGCAGGAAGCCTCTGCCACTCCAGATGGTCCATGACCATTGCCCAGTAGGTATTGATAGGCTGATGGGAGTTTAAGTTTAACAATATATGGAGGTCCAAAAGTTCCCCATTCCTGCCCTAAGTCTAGTGGCATAAACTCTGGAGGATGCCCTCTACAGGGAGGCACCCTCCTGAGTTCAGCACTTGAACACCTTGTCCAAAAAATATATATCTTTTTTTAAAGGCCTTTGGAATAACTTGATTTTGATGTTGTTACCTTCCTGTGACTACAAATAGGAGTTATTCTACTTAAAAAATAAACAAACAAAAAACCTTACTCAGCTGTTATTTTAATTGACTGTGGGCGGAGCAATTCGCCTGTGAGAAAAGGTCACAGCCTTTGCAACTTTTTTTATTTTACAGAAAAGGTGAGTAAGAGTTGTTGGAGGAATAATAAACGTTGGAGGCAGTATGCTTCTGAATATCCTTGCTGAAAACTGCAGGAGGGGTGTGCTCAGATCCTGCATACGGGCTTTCCATAGGCATCTGGTTGGTCACTGTTAGAGCAGGATGCTGGACCAGGTGGGTAACTGACCTGATCCTGCAAGCTATTTGTATTTTTCACATGACAAAGCTGTATAGAATTACATGTAGTGCCCCATTTAAAATAACTGCTGTTAAGCTCCAAAGATATTTCCATTATGTGTTAATCTGTTGCGCTGGATAACCATACCTAACAATACTAATAATACTAGCTTTCATCAATTTTCTTCCTTTTAAATCCCTTAAAGGATTTTTGTTTACTCTTTGGGAGATATGAATAAAGCAGAGGGAATGCAGATGGACAAGTATCTAACCATGTTGGCAGATACCTTAAGAAAACACTGAGTTGCATGGAAACAGCAGGTTGAAGAGAAGAAGGTGGAAAAAGGCAAAGATGAAAGGTTTAATATACAAATGAATATAAATCGTATGCTCATCCTTTCACTTAATAT